CCCCCCCTTCCCCCACCCCCAATAATAAATATACCTAGGGATAACAATCAGACCATACTCATAGAATCCCCCACCCCTTCCCCCACCCCCAATAATAAATAAACTTGCAATTATGAAATGAATCCCTTCACTAAAAAGGAAAAGGTAGATAGCAATGAAATGTTAGTGAGAATGATGAAGTTGTTAAAACTCTCTCATTAGACTGTTACTGATACATATATATCACTGTTCTTTAGGAAATATCTCATCAGAAGAACAGATCAATCCTTACGCTCATAAGTCAGTTACCAACAGTTATCAATTTACAGAAAAGCTACAATTGTTGACAAATTTATCCTGACCAATCTTAACTTTGTATCTGTATTCTTTGTAAAAGTAACACTACAGTCAACAAGCAGAAAATGTCTGTATATTGTCCTAATCATTTGGTTAACTGAGAATTTTGGACGTCATCTTTACCAATAAATCAGACATTTTGATAGAAATATGAGGTGTGTGCTGTGATTATGGAGTCTAGTAAGTGTGGAGAGATGACAACATTGCTGTAACTGTAAAATGTTTTCTTCCAAATATGGATTAAACCAGTAATGGAAGCGAAGACTTGAGTGGGTATAAATCGTGGTGATGCGGGGAGTTGACTACAGGCCAGCCTCCATTGTTTATCTTCTCTGTTGTAGACGATATGTTGTCTAATATATGACCTCATTTTTATAAATTTTCTTCAAATTCTGTTTCTGCAGCCCTCATGATTGGTTCCTCTGCTATCTCCGCCCCAATCTCTTACTGTATACAACAAAGCAAGCACATCAAATTACAGCACACCCATCAACTCCTTTATACATCCCAATAGGGCATCAACTCCTTTATACATCCCAGTAGGGCTTCTATGTGAAATACACTCCATCTTCATCTCCATATGGAGTTATACAATGTTATACATATAAAGGACTGATTCACTCAGTGTTAAAATAATGTTGGGATGTATTTTATTTGTTTAGATCAAATGCTTTGAAATTTTTATTTAATAAATTCAGATATATGAGGTATGGTTTTATCTAATGGAGTGCTCTCCCCTGGTGCCCGAAGCCTAGTTGAATAGACCTAACTAACAGAGGTGAATTTGTTTCAGTGTCCTTTGTGAATTGGATTATTTGTGCTTGTGGAGGCAGCAATCAATGGTTTAATCTATGGGACGCCTGGCCCGCTATGTCAGTGTGATGTCTGGCAGACCCATGAGGCCAGCATTCAAGCCCTCGGCTCCTCATCCTAAAAAACAAATTCCTATGATTTACCGAAAATTTAATTAGTGTTTTTTTGTCTGTATTTACGAACAATTTTGTGGCATTGTCCAATCTTCCCTTTCTCACCAAATATTAAATTATGTCAAACGAGACGAAGGCCACAAGGAAAGTTGTCGTAATGATAAATGAAATGTATACTGTAGCTCTCCTTACAGCTAAAGTCTAAACATTGAGAAAACTTTCACACACAAAGAATACAATGAGGGCACAATAAGTGCACAATTTAATGACATCATTAGGATGTCATGTCCCCATAAATTGCAATGTGTCATCTAGTGACATCAGAAGGATGTCAGATCAGAAAGGTTTCCACAGTGTATAATCTAGTGACATCACTACTGAATTCACATGTATCTATAAACTACAATATGTAATCTATAGAGACATCAGAAGAATGTCAGATCAGTAAGATCTCCATAAACTACAATATGTAATCTATAGAGACATCAGTAGTATGTCAGATCAATAAGATCTCTATAAACTACAATATGTAATCTAGTGACATCTCCATAAACTGCAATATGTAATCTATAGAGACATCAGTAGTATGTCAGATCAATAAGATCTCTATAAACTACAATATGTAATCTAGTGACATCTCTATAAACTACAATATGTAATCTATAGAGAAATCAGTAGTATGTCAGATCAGTAAGATCTCCATAAACTACAATATGTAATCTAGTGACATCTCCATAAACTACAATATGTAATCTAGTGACATCAGTAGTATGTCAGATCACTAAAATCTCTATAAACTACAATATGTAATCTATAGTGACATCAGTAGTATGTCAGATCAGTAAGATCTCAATAAACTACAATATGTAATCTTTAGTGACATCAGTAGTATATCAGATCAATAAGATCTCTATAAACTACAATATGTAATCTATAGGAGATCAGTAGTTTGTCAGATCAATAAGGTCTCCAATATGTAATCTATAGAGACATCAGTAGTATGTCAGATCAATAAGATCTCCATAAACTACAATATGTAATCTATAGTGACATCAGTAGTATGTCAGATCAATAAGATCTCCATAAACTACAATATGTAATCTATAGAGACATCAGTAGTATGTAAGATCAGTAAGATCTCCATAAACTAGAATATGTAATCTATAGTGACATCAGTAGTATGTCAGATCAGTAAGATCTCCTTGAACTACAATATGTAATCTATAGTGACATCAGTAGTATGTCAGATCAATAAGATCTCCATAAACTACAATATGTGATCTAGTAACATCAGTAGTATGTCAGATCAGACAGATCTCCATAAACTACAATATGTAATCTATAGTGACATCAGTAGAATATCAGATCAGTAAGATCTCCATAAACTACAATATGTAATCTATAGTGACATCAGTAGTATGTCAGATCAGTAAGATCTCCTTAAACTACAATATGTAATCTATAGTGACATCAGTAGTATATCAGATCAGTAAGATCTCCATAAACTACAATATGTAATCTATAGTGACATCAGTAGTATGTCAGATCAATAAGATCTCCATAAACTACAATATGTGATCTAGTGACATCAGAAGGATGTCAGATCAGTAAGGTCCCCATAAAGTGCAGTTTAGAACCAAGTGACATGATTAGGATATCAGTAAGATGTCACATGTCCTAGAACGCATTGTATAATGTTGTGACGTGACATCAGTAGGATGTCAGATCAATAAGGTCCCCATAAACTTCAGTGTATAATAGGCTGTCTGCACTACCATCCATTAGTTTGATGATGATAGACAAATCTGCTTTAGTTGCCTGCATTCTCTTTGAGTATTCCATAAGACACCTCCACCCACCGAGTTTGTCACTATTACCAGACACCTATCAGACATTAAACGCCACAATGAAATTCTAGAATTCTAAGTAGACAAGGGGGAGCCACCTGTTTAGGGTTGACATTTTTAGTACATATTTTTATACCAATCTATTGGCTTTGTTTGGGAGGTGTAACAGGGAGTGTTTAGTCTAAAATCTCCAGGTACACCGTATCTCATCCTGTTATGTTCTTATCATAGGTTCGTCCTTGGCCTTCGTACACAAAAACTTACAGTCAAGGTCGTGGAACTTGGAATGTTGTTCCCAAGGGTAGTTCATTTGAACAATAGGTTTATAGATCTTCTGTTGATTCAGAAATAAAGCTGTTTTAACCATGACAAGATACTTAATTATGACATGTAGCTGTTTCTCTGGCCCAAAACATTCAACAATAAAACATAAGTTGCTGTCTTTGCACTCTTTGTACAGTGCTTTCCTGCTTATGCTACCATGGATTAGTACTATATTATAGCCTGCAATTATTTGTATTTTTTTAAGATTACCTGAAATCTGGTTACACTTTTATCTCAAAATCCTGATACAAATTGCCTTTATTTCTTCCCAAAAGATGCCTTAATGAATAGGTATTAAGGGTACATGTAAACTGTAGACTGTGTACTGTGAGAGAGAGATGATCTGCTGTTTTCTATATCTGTCTGTTTATTTCTACCACCACAAGGGACCCAGGCTTTGTTTAATGCCTCGGGGGACATAAAAGGTAACTATGGCAACATCACACATCATCCTCATCTTCATTTCATCATGCCTGTACAGTGGTTGGTTGCCTGTATTCAATTTTTTTTCACGTAATTTTTCATATTTTTTTGTCATTTTTTGTGGATTAATTTTTTTATTTTACTGTATTGTCTGGTTGTGAACTTTGACCTTGATTTTCCCCTCAGTCCTGTCACCTACCAGTCTGTGGACAGAACTCCTGTTTATAACCACTTTCAGCAATTGTCAAGTGAATATTGAAACTATTTCTGCCATTTCTTTATGTGTTTAATTGTAATAACATTAGCTAAGCAAATATTTTGATAAATAATTCACTCAATGATCAAAACCCACATAGATGTTGTCGCTTGTTATTGAAGTGAGGAAAAGGACGTTTTGTCTTCTCTGTTTACTTTTTCCCTCTGTTGTTCCCTTCATTGCTTACGGTTTAGCCTAATGCTGACCTAAAATGTTACCAGTTTGTGATGGTGGATCCAGCCCAGCTATTTTTATCCTTGTCTCATTGGAAAATCTTTCTGTCAGGCCATTAAATTTTCCTCAGAATCCAAACTGTTATTGTTAAGCATCTAGTGAATGTCTCCAAACAATTACACAAATATAAATGAATTAGATTTTTTTTTTTTTATCAAAACATCAAATATATAGTCAACTAGGATAAGAAAAGCTGGGTGTATAACGACAGTCCACCTACAAACTGTAACAGTGGCAGACAGACAGAGGTCATACGATTATTGTTATGTACCAATAACAGACGTTTATCACGATACTAATAAGCAGATTCATCTGTCACGGTTTCGTTAACCTGAAGTTGTTGAGTATATAATGACTAAATTAACAATGAGGGTCGTGCATGTCAATGAGTTCTCCTGCATGTTACGTCAATCAGCTCCGTCGCTGTTGTGTTTGGTAGTAAAAGTATTTTTTGTGTCTCAATAGAAAGGGTAAGAAATGTATTCATTTGTTTGACAGATAGATATTTTGGGATAGATGTTAAACTTTGTTTTCCATGCTAAGATATATATTAGAACTTTTTGGAATTAAGAAAATGACATACATATATAACCTTTTTTCCTTTTGGCTATTTTGACATGAGTAAGACATGATTTATCTTGTTGTTGATATTGATTACATAGTTACGACACCAGTGACATTCAGCTTCCGCCTTCGTTCTCCAATTCTAGCTTTATTTGGCACTTGGTTTTCATATCATCAATTTTTATATCTTATTACTCAGGAAAGCTCAAATAATAAATCATTTCACAAAAACACTTCCTTTAGATTGATGAATTTGAGGACAGTGAAATGCTTTCTCAGCATTTGTTGACGTATATATAGCTACAGTTTGAATTTCTACAGATTTCTTACCTTTGGATTGAATTTTAATAAAATGTTTGATATCAAAAAATATATGTATATCAATACACCGTTCAGTTTATTTTTTTGCAGTTTGGTGATGAAATCATCTTGTTGCATCTAGCAAGTCTTTTATTTTTTTAAATTTTAAATTTTTGTCTTCACAGATACATCATGTAAAATATCATATGAGTATACATATATCATGTAAACATATCCTCTCACAGGAGTCACATCTTTGATCTAGCAAGTCTTTGCCATAGGATTTTTTCTGACAATTTTGAGTTATATGGGTTTTTGTGTATATGACAGCTTCAATTAATCTTGATACAATAACTGTTTTATAAGTGTTCATCCTAAGTAAAATTCAGAGTTATTTATGATTTAGAAAATATGAATGCCGCATAGTAGGTTTCTATTGTAAAACTCTGAATCCCACTTCATTTCGGTATTAGTATTTTAGATTGTAAATGAAATATTTGACGCATTCACAATTTTTTGTAAATTATTTTGTTACAATTACTAATTATAAGTTCAGCATAGGAAAGCAAACGAATGTATTAAAGATTGCCTTTATCTATAGCAAGGAAAACTCCGCAGAGGAGGTCGACAACAGTAACGTATAGATGAAAGTGAGGCTTGCTCTGGATTTGTTATTTTCTGTGAAGAGTTAAAGATACAATATGAAAAGCAATGTTCATCTGAATGTTTATGTGCTCAGGAATATAGGGATGTAAGTGCTGTTGAGGTAAAACTTGAAATAGGGGTGTCTTCTCTGATATGTTGTTGACCACTGACTACAGGAATCGGTGTACACATCGCCCGTGAGGCCCTAGTGGTCAGTGTCCATAGCGATACCATCAAACAGGTCCACTACGTTCACATCACTGAACCAGAGAAGCTGAGGCGTGACATCTACCCAACCTTAACCAACCCCACAGCTATCTCGGTGGACTGGCTCACTGACCTTGTCTACATTGTCAATGACCTTCGGGTAAGTCAATGACCTTCGGGTAAGTCAATTAGCAATTTCATGGGTTCTTATTTTCACCATTTTGCATCTTATTTCCAGTGTCTTAATTCTGCAAAGAACACGAAAAAAACTGGTTATGTACGTCATGTACGTCACATAAGAATTCAGGAATGAATAACTGGACAATAAAGAGATGAGTCAGCTACCTAGTTTTCTGTTTTAACTATTTGATTTTAACAGATTTTATAGTACGCAGACAAATGGATCAGAAACATGCATTGTTCCACTTTCTGAATTAAATATACTGCAGCATTTATACTGCTGTCGTGGTTGTAACTTGTAGAGTCTGGGAGAAGCTTTCTGTTTTTAGAATTATGTTGGTGTCAAAAATATTGAAGAAGAAAAGAAGGAAGTTTGTTCCTGTGGATTTGACTGTATACTTGGACCCATTGTACTGTAATAGCAGATTATTACCAGGTGGTTGATTGTGTATGATGATCTAGTTCGTGACTGATTACAGATCTACCAGTGCGAGATTGATGCCGATTCCTGTGACATGGTTGCAGCAGGGCCTCTGTCTACCACTGCTACAGACCTGGAAATGGATCCTTTAAATGGGTTTGTATGATAATTGGGCCGTCATAGAACAATGCTCTCTGACACCTGCAAGCCGGATCTATAGAGAAATTACAAATAGATGATTGAGAATTCAATGCAGGCAGATTGGAACAAATCTACTTTTATTTTGACACTTTTACTTCAAAACATACATAATCATGCTATACATGCAGCAATCCTCTAAGGAAATTTTCCAGAATCAACTTCAGTTTAGCTGCAAATCCTAGACTAGGATGGTAGTAATTTTACAAGAAATCACATCTATTGTCATTTGGCGACTGACAAGCTCGTCTGTGGCAAGGAGTATTACAATAAATATGCCTCACTTATATAGAGTATGTAAAGTAATGAAAAAATTTGATGCTGACTCCTGAGGATTATGTAATGGAGCAGACGACATACTAAAAGTTAGGGCTACTGTGTAGTCAAGGCATCAGATGTGTGTGGGGTAATGGCACTTCATCATTCCAGGGTTGCTTCATATTTGTATTGAATTCTTGTACTTTCCATCTTCCTAAATAGGATAAACATTTAAAGACCTAAATTGTATAGAGAACACTGCAAATGACTTGTCAGAATGTTAAATGAAACAAAACTCTGTCTTCAGACTTATTGGGGTCAAGCTTTAACAGAGGGGAAAGGACAGAGAAACAGAATGGACAGAGAAACAGATTGGACAGAGAAACAGAATGGACAGAGAGAGAGAGTGATATATATAGAACAGTCAAGGAAAGGATAGTGAGGGAAAGGACAGATAGAGGATAGTGAGGGAAAGGAGACTGAGGGAAATCAGATTAAGAGAAAGGACAGAGTAAAGGGAAAGGACAGATAGAGGATAGTGAGGGAAAGGACAGATAGAGGATAGTGAGGGAAAGGAGAGTGAGGGAAATCAGATTAAGAGAAAGGACAGAGTAAAGGGAAAGGACAGATAGAAAATAGTAAGGGAAAGGACAGATAGAGGATAGTGAGGGAAAGGACAGATAGAGGATAGTAAGGGAAAGGACAGATAGAGGATATTAGGGGAAAGGACAGATAGAGGATAGTGAGAGAAAGGACAGATAGAAGATAGTGAGGGAAAGGACAGATAGAGGATAGTGAGGGAAAGGACAGATAGAGGATAGTGAGGGAAAGGAGAGTGATGGAAATCAGAGTAAGAGAAAGGACAGAGTAAAGGGAAAGGACAGATAGAGGATAGTAAGGGAAATGACAGATAGAGGATAGTGAGGGAAAGGACAGATAGAGGCTAGTAAGGGAAAGGACAGATAGAGGATAGGGAGGGAAAGGACAGATAGAGGATAGGGAGGGAAAGGAGAGTGATGGAAATCAGAGAAAGAGAAAGGACAGAGTAAAGGGAAAGGACAGATAGAGGATAGTAAGGAAAAGGACAGATAGAGGATAGTGAGGGAAAAGACAGATAGAGGATAGTGAGGGAAAGGACCGATAGAGGATAGTGAGGGAAAGGACAGATAGAGGGTAGTGAGGGAAAGGACAGATAGAGGATAGTAAAGGAAAGGACAGATAGAGGATAGTGAGGGAAGGGACAGATAGAGGATAGTGAGGGAAAGGATAGATAGAGGATAGTGAGGGAAAGGAGAGTGAGGGAAATCAGATTAAGAGAAAGGACAGAGTAAAGGGAAAGGACAGATAGAGGATAGTAAGGAAAAGGACAGATAGAGGATAGTGAGGGAAAAGACAGATAGAGGATAGTGAGGGAAAGGACCGATAGAGGATAGTGAGGGAAAGGACAGATAGAGGAGAGTGAGGGAAAGGACAGATAGAGGATAGTAAGGAAAAGGACAGATAGAGGATAGTGAGGGAAAGGGCAGATAGAGGATAGTGAGGGAAAGGACAGGTAGAGGATAGTGAGGGAAAGGACAGATAGAGGCTAGTAAGGGAAAGGACAGATAGAGGATAGGGAGGGAAAGGAGAGTGATGGAAATCAGAGTAAGAGCAAGGACAGAGTAAAGGGAAAGGACAGATAGAGGATAGAAAGGGAAAGGACAGATAGAGGATAGTGAGGGCAAGGACAGATAGAGGATAGTGAGGGAAAGAACAGATAGAGGATAGTGAGGGAAAGGACAGGTAGAGGATAGTGAGGGAAAGGACAGATAGAGGCTAGTAAGGGAAAGGACAGATAGAGGATAGTGAGGGCAAGGACAGATAGAGGATAGTGAGGGAAAGAACAGATAGAGGATAGTGAGGGAAAGGACAGATAGAGGATAGGGAGGGAAAGGAGAGTGATGGAAATCAGAGTAAGAGCAAGGACAGAGTAAAGGGAAAGGACAGATAGAGGATAGTAAGGGAAATGACAGGTAGAGGATAGTGAGGGAAAGGACAGATAGAGGCTAGTAAGGGAAAGGACAGATAGAGGATAGTGAGGGAAAGGAGAGTGATGGAAATCAGAGTAAGGGAAAGGACAGAGAAAAGGGAAAGGACAGAGAGAGGAAGGATTATGGGTGAAAGGAAAGCAAGGGAAATGACAGGAGCCTGTTTCAGTAGATATTAAGGCCACCTAGACATTCCGGTAATACAACTTCCCTTTTTGTCTGTAGGTTTTTGTACTTTACTCAAAGTGGCGACAAAGCAGGCCTTTACAGAATTGATACTGGTGATATCAGGAGCATGGGCCGTTTCTTTTCTATGCCAGCTAAACCCAAACTAGTGATATATTGTGAGCTGAAGGCATTCTTCATAGACCATGGTAACATGCAGCTGTATTTTCCCAACGACTCTCAGAACACCATGCTCACCTCATTCTTGGATGGCAGTGGTCTGGTGGACTTGCGTAAGGGCAAGGTTGTACGGCCAAACTACCACAACATAACCAGCATGGTTTTTTATAATGGCACATTCTGGTGGACCAATGGTATCAATGTGATGAAGGAGGATTATGATGTCAACAGGGACATGTTCTACCTCAACTTCCTGCCCTTCTTCACTCATCACTACACCTCCTTCAACCTGTACCTGCCTACCTCCCAGCCACCACCAGGTAGGGCTTGCCACACCATTCAAACTTCGGGATTATGTCATGAATTAAATTGAGTTTTTCAGATTTTGAAAATATTTTTGTTATGACAATTATCTTAAAAAAGTAAGAAAGGATAGATATGACTGTATCCTTCACTTGTTCATGTGTTGAATTATTCAAAACTGTACAGAGTATTTGTTATGATTACATGTTCCTTCAATGTGTTTCCTACAGCGCCACACAGCCCACCAGAGAATCTTCAAGCCCTGTTCACCTCTACTAGGGTCAAGGTCAAGTGGTCGGAACCCCAGAAGTTATCATACCAAGGTCGAGGGGCATGGGCACGCTGGCAGTATGAAGTCAGCATTATGATGAAGGAGACCCGTGAGGAGACCATCCTTCGCGGCATCGATGAGCAGACACTGGAGCAGGTGGACATGGTACCGGACAAAATGTACATCATCAAGGCCAGGGCCTGCTGTAAGCTTGGCTGCGGGCCATGGTCCAGCGAATTTATTGGCCGTACCCTGCCTGTAGGTAAGGACAGGTGTGATGTAGGACAGGATTGGGGGG